ATTGCTGTCTTRGTCATCCGGGGTTCAGGTCCTGCTGTCTTGTTTTCAAATCCTTGGAATTAAGTAAAGTTCAAGTTCAATATAATAGTGACTGTTTTCCCTCTGTTGTTCCATCCTCTTATTCTTCCTTGCACCATTTCAATCTCAGGTTTTTGTGCTGCATCTCCCCCTCTTTCCYGTTTTCCTTTCTTGATCTTCATCTAGATTTCTGCAAGGGTATTTCCTCCCTTTGTTTTTCTCTACTTTTCCTCCTTTGCATCTTCTTTACCCTTCTGCTCTTCGAATCACGGTAGGCAGGTTCCCAGCTTCAGGTGTGATGACTAACCCGGGAGCGCTCACTCTGATGGATGTTTCCTGTCTGCTTCCAGACACGCTTTTTTATGACAAATGTGACCATAACTATGCTAGGAGAAAAGCTCTGTGAGCTTGTAGATTAAGTGGTGTATGTTTGTAAAAAAGAGATTGCTGGACATGAAGAAAAATTCTATTACATTAATTCTTACCGGGAAAAAATGATTTGCTACCTTTCAAACTCAGTTGCTTCATCTGAGAGAGCGCCGGTTACTGGAGCAGAGGATGAAAAGCGTAGGGAGCAGGTCCCCAAATCCTGCAGAGGGGAAACTGGCGGCGGCTCCTGCTTTATCATGTGCAGCCTCTGACGGGGGAGAAGGTGGTGGACTGCTGCCGCAAGGCCACCAAGGGGAACAGGGTGGCCCTGCTGAGCAGCGAGCGCCCAAGGGAGCGGAGGAAAGGGAAGCAATTAAGCAGAGGCGGGTGGTGGTTGGCACTTTGTGAGACATAGCTGTGCTGCTCTGTGGTGTTTCTGATCAGTTCAAATATGATTGAGAGTGAAGAGGTGGAGATGCCCAGAGAAAGTTTTCCTTCTAGTCAAAATCTGAGTTCTCTAACAGTTTCTTATTAATTCCTAGGTATCTTTTTTATGGGCTTTCTGAGTGGCAGCATAGGTTGATATCTTGTTTTATGGTCAAATAATATTTAAGGTATTTGGACCTAACCAGCTTTGTCCTGTCAAGAGAAGTAGGTTTCTTGATCAAGGTATCCAAGTAAATTTTCAGTTCATTTTGCTTTTCACCATAGTTTACCTGCCTTATGTATTAACATCYCAGCTGCACTGGTTAGTGTCAATGGTTGTCCAATAATTGATGAACTAACAGCAGAGTTTTTAAAATAAAACAAAAAACCTTTGACCCTACAACCACGTTATCAAAGTGTCATTCTCCTAATATGGATATTAATGAAAAGCATGTAAGAAGCAAGCAAAATACCCAGGTTTAAAAGCTATCAATAAGTTTTGTTTGGTTATTTCTAGCCACACAAGTGTAACTTTTCATTTGTGGTCCAGGTTCTATATTTCTTTGTACCAAAAGTTTAATTCACAGTGTCATCTTTCAGGTTAAACAGCTTCTGTTTCAGAGCCTCAATATGGCTTTTGACATAGAATGCAAACACTTTCCCCTCCCTTTTCTGAGTGATACAGCGTACAGAGATGCAGCAGTTTTATCTATATATATTTTTTTGATATTATTAAACTCTTTGTATTCCTGTGTCCTGTCCTATTGGTAGAGTAGTTTGGGTGGTAGCTTCAGGGGAGAATTGTGAAGTACTAAGGCTGCATCCTCAGCCAGAATACCTAACATTTTCGGGCCTGGCTGTAGTTAGGGGTGCCTAGTTTGAATGCCCAGGATAAAACACTGCTGACTCAGTTTCATGAATTTTGAAAGATCGAGGATTAAAGAATGATTAACCTATTCTGAAAATCAGATCTCTGTCTTCCATTGCTTATTGGCACCAGTGAAAATGGCATCACTTTCCTCCAGATCCAAAGATGGCCAGTCCCTGTGCCACATTCCTGCACTTTGTGACGTGCTCTGTTCTCCTGAAGGAGACTGCGTAGCGCTCAGCAAGTGAGTGACGTGGAGCCATACCCAAAGAGACGATGCAGCAGCGAAAGYGCTCAGAAGAGCGTGAGCTCTCCTGTCGGTTTGGTGGATTCCCCCGAAAGATGCCGCGGTTTGGCAGTCACTTTTGCTGCAAAGCTGAGCATCCAGGCCCAAGCTTAGGCTGTCATAAGAGTAATGCTGCTCTTCCCCTATCGGTGCAGGGACTCCTGGCCCTGCGAGCAGGAGCTGGAGGAGCACAGCCCACTGGCTTGGCATTGCCGTGGGGGCTGCTGACCCCGCTGCTGGGCCGTGCTGCTGCCGCCGCTCCACGCAGGAAAGAGATGCTGGCCATGCTGGCACGTGCTCAAGGGAGCAAGTAAAACAAAGTACCAAACAAGGTTTTCTAATTGGCAGCCCATGCTTAACTGTGAGAGAGAGGGAAACGTGAGCTAAAACTCACTGCTGTGCTTCACTGAGCTAGAGGTGGGAGCGTGTTCTAGTCAAAAAAGAGGCAGTAAGGATGTGTTTGGAAAATGTCTCATCTGCAGTGCTCTTTGATTTCCACCTTCGTGCAGGGGAGAAATGATCCTTTGGCACCTATAACAGTCCTAAACAGAAGGAAAAAATATCGTCGTGGTCTGTGCTCTCCTGTTACTTTTACCCTAATAATGAATTTTGTAATAGTTATGAATTTGACGACAGATTGACCCCTAAGCCAAGCATAGGGGTTACACAGACAGTACGGACTTAATTAACAGAAAAATATCATAGTCATCTTGAAGGACCTGTAGTATTTCTGCCTTGGGTTTGTGGGAGCCATGTATTACAGCCAGCCCTAATGTGGGCTGCATTATTTGGTGGAGCTTTTACTACTGGCCCCAGGGGCTTTTATCACTGCATGCACATTTTAATGGTCAGAAAATATATGCTGGAGTTTCTTAATAATGCCTTAATATCAGCCTTTTCAGTTATATTTGAATTTTGAATGACTCCCATAAAGTTTTTCCCTACTTCTTGACACAAAATAGACAGATGAGAAAGTAATTTAAGATATAAATCAATATTGCCCTGCTGGTTCAATTGTTTGCGTATTTTTAGCACACCACTTTTCTGGATTTGCTTTTCTTTTACCTCCCTCAATTTATTTCTTAGGTGGTTACTGTGGTCAGAGTTATTCCCAGTTTGTCAGCTAAAATCAAATGATTAGCATTTTTTACAGTTTGTTTTATTTCCTGCTGTAATATCTAAATCCATTAGCTGCAAGTCAGGGAGCTCGAGGCCGTTGCTACCCGTTTTCTTAAATGTCACAGTGCAACCTTCAATCACTTCCACTTCCAGGGAGCCCTGGTTCCCTGGAATGGGACGCAGGAGCTGCTGTGTGGGGAGATGAAGGCCTTTGGTTTCTTTGGGAGCTGGGCTAGAAGGCTGAGAGGCTGTGTGGGGCCAGGATAAGTGTCGTCTTCCCTTGGCACCATCCTCGAAGCCCAAGGGAGGGAGGCCTTGGGAGATCCTGCTCCTGCCAGGTGCCTGTCCTGTCACGCAGCCCTGCCCATGCCAGAGCCCTTAGGAAGGCCAGGCCCAGGCTGCTCCTCGGTGGCTCCCTGCTCCCGGGTGCTGTCCTGCAGGGAAGGGGTGTCCCCACTGAGAGCCTCTCCCATTGTGCTCGCGCAGCGGCTTGGAGCTGCTGGAGCCCTTGCCGCAGAGCCTGCCTTCTCTTTCCACAGCGTACCGTGTCCGCTGCTTGCCTGCGTGGCTTGGCTTCGTGTAGGCTGTTAAGCCAAACACTCAGCTGATTTTTGAGAATGGATACAGCGTTATGGCTTGCTGCTGTGGGCTTGTCAGGTTTGGATTTCTTATTCGTTGTAAAACTGACTAAACAGTCTACTGTTTTAGAGACAGAGCTTCCTCTTGTCAATAGTTAAGACTAATAGCAGTCAATTGGGCTGAAGCGTTGCATTGATTTCCCTTGCATCCCTAGCTTCCTTGCTGCGCCGGAGGAAAGGAGGCATTCTGTCTTTTTGTCATTTGCCTGTAGGGAAAGGCACATTCACTCCGTGGAACAGGAGTCCATGTTTTAAAATAAATGGCCTTGCAGCTGAGAGTGCAATGGGTGAGGTGCAGCTCTCCCCCAGGCTGGGGGGTACAGGATTAGAGCTAAAATAATTCCTGCGCAGTCATGATTTGTTTGTGTTCTGTGGTTACTGCTCCTTTTAACAGGTAGTAAGTATTAATCTACTCAAGTAGATAGTGCAATTTTCTAACTCAGGTGATCTGCTAGTGAAACAATTGTCTGCTTTTTATTTTTAAATAGCTTTTTTTTTTTTTTTTACTTTATCCCTGAGATTGCCAAGTTATCCTGAGTCCTGAGGAAGCAAGATCCAGTCCTGTGTCCCAGGAGTATCTTGCTATAAATGAGACTTAGAAAAGAAAGGATCATTTAATATTCAACATCACTTTCTTCAGTCACAAACTTTATGCACTGAGAAGCAGATGCTGAGGTGCTTTGGTAAATAATGCATAGAGAGCCTGATGTGCTGCTAAGGGTGTTAATTGGAAAGATTTCAGCTTGCTTTGGAGCAGGCTGCTCACAGCTTTGCACATGTTTTGACGTTCACTCTTCATTGTGTCTCGCTGTTTGAAAGCAGTGCCACAGGCTTTTGTTGTTCTGATGTGCTGTTTCCCCCTTTTCTTTTCTTTTCTTTTCTTTTTTTCTTTTTTTTTTTTTAACTTTACCTCTGAATTTAATTCTTGCTTTCATCCAAACCCTTTGTCAAATAGATACTAGTTTTCTTGAAGAGGACAGGATGCAACAAAGAGAGTGAGTAGGTTGTGTAGAGTAAAACAGGATGGGCTGGGAGGCTCCTTACAATCCTGATGCTGACCCATATGTTTACTCTGAAGTTCATAATTTGTTCCTTTCCACAGTATGATTGGGATTTATGCTGAAAGGGCAGGGAAGTAAACGCAGGAAACTAGTTCAAAAGCCCAAACCYGGGATTTCTTGCCTAACTCTATCTGCACCCACTTCTCTGTTGCCTGTTAAGACAGGCATGCTTGGGAGATGCTTGGAAAAAATATAGCCTGTTCTTTTGCCAACAGGATTTGAAATCTAGCAATCAGCGAGATGAAATTGCTGCAGCACGTGCAAGTCTGAAGGAAAATTCGTCGCTTCTACATTCGATATGCTCAGCTTGTTTGGAACATTCAGATGTTGCATCCCTTACAGCCAGCAAGGACTCCATCTGTAATGAAATACAGAGTGCTCTCAGTGTAATTTCTAATGCTTCCCAAGGAGTCAGAAATGAAATGGGGCAACCTCCATCTCGCAGTGCTACTCTAGGAAGTGCCCTTGATGAGCTTGAGGTAGGTAAATGCGTAAACAKGTAACACTGCATCATTTCGGAAAAGTCATTTAATTCTTTTTATTTTAACTATTGTTGTAAGTGACAGATGCAAGATGATGCAATATTTCACTGGGAGGGATCACTTCCTGCCAAGCAATTTAGAATTAAGTCTTCATAAATGTTCAATATTTGGCTTCTTTTGAACAGCAGACATGAATTAGCTGTGAGAGTGTCACTAAAGGTGGAGATGGAACCAAATCCTTGAGTATCTGGGCAGAAGTCATGAATTCTATTTAAAAATGACAATAGGCATCACCAGAGGATGATAATCACTGTTATCCTAACTAGATTTGAACTAATTGGTTTGGAGACGCTTAGAATCATAGACTCATAGAATGCTTAAGGTTGGAAGGGACCTCAGGGGTCATCTAGTCCAACCCCCCTGCCCACGCAGGGTCACCTAGAGCACRGGGCACAGGGCTGCGTCCAAGCGGGTTTTAAAGATCTCCAAAGAAGGAGACTCCACARCCTCTCTGGGCAGCCTGTTCCAGGGCTTGGAGACGGTCAGCTCTTTGCTGAGCTAGGCCCCCGTGCAGAGCTTGTCCTGGTGGCCCCTGTGACTCTCAGCAGTGTCCTGCTCCTTGTCGTGTGGCCGCGGGGAGACTGGCCTTGCAGCCTGCGTTCCTGCTCTGCTGCGCGTGGGCCCGCAGCATCCTGCGGGATAAAACACACAAGCAAAACCAAGGGCCTTTTTGCCTRTAAAGACTCAGTTATTAGATGCCATCCTTGGAACTCCAGGCATATGTTCAGGTATGTTGGTGTTATGACAGGTGATAATAGATTTTGCCTAAAAATACTGATTAAAACAGGAAAAAAAATGCATTGGAGTCCAGGCATGGTACTGCTCCTGTAGTGACTTTATTAAACAAAACAAACATCTCGACCATGGCCAAAGTTGAATCTCTGACGCATTTATCTCAAAAGAACAGGTTACAACTGTTTATTTCATCCTTCATTGCTGCTTTCATTGGATTTTAAAGTTATGGTTGAAAATCAGTGATCGTTATTAGATGAGAAAGAAAGGACTCAAATTTTGTGCATTGTATGTCATTCATTACAATGGAACCCTGAATGATAAATAATGTAACTTCAATTAGAGCCATTGTTTGCCTGTTTTTTCTTTAAACATATATCTATTTCTCTATATATTATATTATAAATAAATATTTTTTAAACAAAATTCAGTGAAGTGGTCATATATGATGACCACAAATTAAATCACTTTGACTATATGAGAGCTATGCCATCTTAGTAAACATTTTTTTCTGAWAACATTAAATTTAATATTGTTTTCAAATTCAAATTGGAATTGGGATAATAATGAAATGGATTTTTTCCCATTGAATTTATTTTTATTCAGAAATAGAGGAATATACAAGCCTGACTTTAACAAAATGTTATTTGTGTATTGAATTTTAATTTTGTTTTTACTTTGGTAACAGAGGTAGGAGCTGAAGCTGTATATGTTAGATAAAGCACAATTTATAGAACATTTAACTTACAAAAATGATTTTATGAATTAAATGGTTGCACTTTATTTATAGAAAGTTCTTTTGACTAAGGACCCAGAATAACCTTTGCTCTAACTTGTTCTCTCAAAGACAGTGCCATGATATAAATTTATGTACTAAATAGTCCATTGGGAACAAATCTCATTAAGTGCTTATAGTGTGAAAACRTATCAAGCAGCTTATCAAGATATTAGACTGTTTTTTTAATGTCGTTCCTGCTTTGCCAGTGCTGGTAGCATGAAAGCAAATATGAATTTATAGGTAAGGAAACCACTGCTAAAAAATAGACTAGTTCGATCAGTAGRATTCTCGAGACTTCCTTAAAGGTTCCATATAACCACCATTCATAATGAAACATTGGATTGTAATGCCAAATGTTTAGAGCCTTATTAAGAGCCGTTAAAGAGCTTGTAGGTGCAGCTTATCAAATGTACTTCAGTGGTTTTGAAGCTTAAGAATGTGGAGAGAGCTCTCTGCGAAATGCAGTTGGTGCCCGGCTCCGCTGTCAGCTCGTCCCTCTGCTGCCTGCTCTTTGATGGCTGTGGCRTCCAGCACAGCAATCGCTCCCCAGCTAAGTACTGCATAAACAGGAGCTATACGTATGAGCCCCAAAATATAAACCATTTAAGTGAGCCCCAAATGTCAGGAAATACRACTATGTTTCTGGATACCTATAATTCCTCTTTTTCATGGATCAGAAGACTAGTGAGGGAAGAAACAGGAATGTAACTGCACTACATAAATGCTTATTTCTGTTTCCAAATGGAAACACGTAACTGTTGGCTGCACTGACTCAAGTGTGCGGGGGTTCCCTGGCAGAGAAGCAGCTCCTCTTATGGACATTAGTCTCTTGGGGTTGGGGCCATTTATTCAACCTTTTCYACTTGACCCTCTTCAAGCAAAAATATTTGGATTACGAAATCCAGTTTTTCTGGGTAGTTTTGTTGGAGAATCTTCCAGCTGTTTCAAAACATTTTATTTATCTATTTTTGAAAAAGATAGGGGGACTGAACCCATAACAGAGACTTCCTTTCTCCAACTCATACATAATGCAATGGGATTTGTTATTAGAAACAAACAGCAGAATTTCAAAGTTACTGAAGTCCCCTTTTCTGGCTGTTTATCTCATGATGCTGTAATACAGCACTTTCTGTAGAGTTTTGTAGGCTAGGCAGTACCTCAAATTATCACACTAACTAGAAAGATAAATTCCACTTAACGMTATATGCTGTAGTTTTACTTTTTAATATTTCTTTTGAAAGTTTAGGGCCACCAAATGGCTCTAATATGCAAATAGACTTGCATGGAATTTAGGCTTAGTGATCTGGACCCTTACAACAGTTTCAGATGTTGAGTTTGATTAAAAAAGACTATCTGGGCTGGAGCATAAATTTACTTGCTCTCTGTGGCTTTATCACAGCTGGTCCAAATAGGTCCTGCTTCTACCTGGGACCTTTGGAAGCCAAACTGTAGAACTAAAGCTACTTGCACTTTGCCTATTCAGTCTTTTAAAAGTAGCAGCAGTGACTTTCTGCCCCAGTCAGTTTATGTTAGACTAAAAATAAACAGAATTGGGCCATTCATCTAATCCAACATAACATCTCTCAGCTAGGAGCAAACAGTGCTGTTTTTCTGTTAAATCCAGACGTGCCCCTGGCCTCCAAGAATCCGAATGCTGAAGGTGTTGGGCTGCCTACAGGTTTTCAGACAAAACTGCCTCTCTCGTCTGAAATACTTGGATAAAAGATGCAATAGTACTGAGTAGTAACCATCAGACACGCAGTGGCATATTTATGTGTAGATGTTATGAGCTGAGTATCTTGAGGCATTTCTTTTCTTTAATGGTTGACAAAGTAAGTGCACAAGACAGTCTCACTATTGTACGCAGAGAATGTGGGTGACTTTCAAGAAGTATAGACAGACAGAGTGTGAACAAAAGCAGAAATACTTTTTGATACTTCAGTGACACAACTCCAAAATGAGCTCGAGGGCTGGCTTGCACCTTGGGAAGGTGCTACACAGTTGCTTGTTTTAACACCTACCTTCTGTACGATCCTTGAACATGGCTCTCTGTGCCTCTCTTCTTTACCTGCAAAATGAGAGGAATGGATTCCTGTTTCAGAATGGGGTACTAGGAAAATTGGTAGCCCAGGTAGTCAGATAATGCAGTGGTAAGGATGCGTGCATATTTGTCAGTATAGAAAAATAACATTTTTGCCTCCAGGAGAAGTGAAATGCCTTTTGGAAGAGGAAAAGATAGATGTGGGAGAGACTAAAGGGCTATCAGGAGAGGATGAAATTCTTGAGTCTGATGCAATAAAAGTAATAGGCAGGGAGAGAAGTTGGAGAGAAGGCAGTTGTAGTGAGAAGATGCCAACGTGACCATTGCAGGAGTTGAGCCTTTGCTCTGCTTGTTCTATAAGGTGCTCACCAGCTCTAGTTGGAAGCTCTAGTGCCGCCCTAGGACTGGGGTGAGACCGGTAGGATTTGATAACAAGACTTGAGTTGGAACAGGTCGCACTGGAGGGGCAGAGAGAGCTCGGCTTTGTGCGCAAATGACCTAAACAGTGGGGAGAACCAAATTCACTGGTGCCTTACATGCCTTAGCATGACCAGATAAGGGTCATGCTAAGGCAGAGACTTCAAGGAGATGACTCTTCTTACCTATTCTTCTAATATTTTCCAGAATTTAATTGTCCTGGATCCTCTCGTAGTGAATGAAGAGAAAATAAGACCATCACTGGAGAAACGTTTGGAAGCTATTATTAGTGGAGCTGCTTTGCTAGCAGATTCTTCCTGCACACGGGACTTCCATCGAGAACGCATCATTGCAGAGTGCAATGCTATCCGCCAAGCTCTCCAAGACCTGCTTTCTGAATACATGAATAACGTAGGTAACCATATTTTTATTTTATTTTTTTAAATATCTGTTTCAAAGCCTATTGTAGTATAGATATGTATTGAATGGAAGTAACAAGGTGAGATCAGTGACAAGAGTTTCTTCGTTATTTAACTTCCTAGTTTTTTCTTACAGTTTGAGGAATGCAGTTCTAAAGTTTTATCTTTGTTCCTATAGGATGCAACAACTTGTCTAAATGTAAGTAGTAATGTGTTAAATGTAGTAATTGTTTAAATGTCAGTAATCTGTCCATGTTGTATAATCAGAGCACTGGAACAGGCTGCCCARAGAGGTTGTGGAGCCACCTTCTCTGGAGATACTCAAAAGCCACCTGGATGTGACCCTGTGCCACATGCTCCCTGCTTAGCACGGGAATTAGACTGGCTGATCTCTGGAGGTCCCTTCCAACCTCAACCATTTCTCTAATTAGAATGTTCACAATACTATGTTTGATCTAAGAGCATAAAGTTAAGGCTTATCTTACTAAATTAGAAACTCAGACTTGTTCAATAAAACCTTAAATCTTATCCACRTGTCATGCTTGTAAGTCAATTCACAGGATATAGTTGAGGATGAAAGGCACCTCTGGTGACCGTCCAGTCCAGCCACCCGGTTCAAAGCAGGGCAGCTGGAGCAGGTTGTCCAGGACCGTGTCCCGCTGGGCTTGGAGCATCTGCAATGAGCAGGGCTCCACAACCGCTCCGGGCAGCCTGTGCTCCTCAGAGGAAACTAGGGTTGCTTAGCTTCAAGTGGAATTGTCTGTGTTTCAGTTTGTGCCCACTGCCTCTCATTGTGGCCCTGGAAGCACTGAGGACAGTCCAACTCTCGCAGATTTGCACGCTCTCCATGCAGCTTTTTCATAATCCTTGCTAAGATCCCCCAGGAGCCACCTCTGCTCCCGGCTAACGGCTCCCGGTCCCACATCTCCTTCAGGGAGAGGCGCTCCAGGCCCCGCTGTCCTGCGGCCCTTTGTTCTTCACTGGGAGACGTTTGCAAAGCCATAGAGTTTCATTGCTTTGTAAAAATTACTGTTAAATTTAAGTACTTATTTGGCACTTGCTATGTCTGGCAGTTACATTGTTACATGAAAAAATGTAGAGCTGGGTGCTATTAAYATGGGTACATATTGTTAATATCATCATCAACAATTCTCTGGAACTGTTTCTGTAAGCACACTGTTCTTATCTAAATATATGTCAAATTGATTCATCTGCCACACTGCGAGGATAATTGTGTGATGCAGCCATTTGTTTCTGTTTTTGGAGCTGACATTCCTTTCTGTTTTGTAAGTCTTCCTGCTTACCTCRTCCAAGGCTGTTCTGATGAGGCAGTTTTGCCTCATTCCTTAGGAAAATGAAGGCTAAGGATTAAGGTAACCTAGAGGTTTCTTCATTTCCCTGGTACTTTACTTGCTGGTCTTTTCTCAAGTTTATTCATCATATTTGGGGAAAAAAATACAGGTGTAGGGAGGAAGGGACCAAACTCTCCTTGGTGGTGGCCAGGGACATTACTCAGGGTAATGGGTATAAGTCGAAACACAGGCAGTTCCATCTGCATGTGAGGAAGAACTTCCTCAGTGTGAGGGTGACAGAGCCCTGGAACAGGCTGCCCAGGGAGGCTGTGGAGTCTCCTTCTCTGGAGGTCTTCAAAACCCGCCTGGATGGCATCCTGTGCCACATGCTCTGGGTGTCCCTGCTGGAGCAGGAGGGTTGGACTAGATGATCTCTAGAAGTCCCTTCCAACCTTAACCATTCTGTGATTTATTCCATTATCTGTGAATTTAAGTTGTTGTTTCAGTCCCTAAACAGATACAAAATAAAAAAAAAAAAAAGGGAGCATCTTTAACTCAGTATTTATCTATGGTGTTTCTGTTGGATGGAACAAGTGTCCTGAACCTCTCCAGTGGTGCTCTACGTATGGGTCAGCTATGTGGAACGTTTTAGCTATGGTTAGCTGGGGAGGTTGGTCTTCGATACCTTCTTGCAGCAGCTGTCTGTAGCAGATGTCTGCTCTAGGGTRGATGTGGTTTGCTGATGCAGGCTTGAAAGTTTAATAAGGAATTCCTCATTGGAAGCAGCAGGGAACATGCAGGATATGAATGTGGTGCTTAGCAATCCGGATCATTACAGGTTTGTTGCGGGAACCCTTCAGTGGAATTCTGTGTCTTGCCAGAGTTGGACTGAATGACTATAAGTCATGTAATCTTAAATCGTTGGCCTCTTGGAACAAAATTGGGATTGTGTTTTCTGTTTCAAAAAGAACCATGTTCTGAGGATTACCTACTGCAGGATATGGGGAAGTGAAGGATCCTTTGTCCAACTGGAAGTGTAAGCTTGAGAGAGTCAGGAAGCAGCTCTTCTAATCAGACTGAAGGAAAAGTGTCTGAACAAGATGGTAAAGACACAGGTGAAGGAAGTGAGGAGGAAAGTCCTTTTCTTCCTTTAAAGTGGAAGAAAGTATCATTTTAGTTCTCAGACATTCTTGTGAGTTGCAATATCCAGTTGATTGGAATATATATATATATATATTTATTTCTTCAGGTATGTAGTGGTCATTTCTTGCTGGTAAATTGGTTCGATGGATTTTCTTAAGACTTCTTTCTGCCTGGGTGTTGCTAGTGAGAGCTATATTGCTTTGAAGACACGAAAGCACAAGAGACACTTGCTACACCTTGGCAAATCCTTCTGTAGCAGCTGCTTTACCAGGAGGCTGAGCACACTGCCCTGGCACTGGTGACATCCCAAAGCTGCTGAGTCTTTACCTTGGAGTGCTGCAGGTGGATGGGGCCTGCATTGATGCTTGACCATGTGTGCGGGGCCATCCTTCCCAGAGGACACCACTAAGCAGCTTCTCCAGCAGCCTTTCAAGTGGCGGTGCCCGGCATGGGAGGCGGGAGCGCGCTCCCGTGGGAAGCGCTGGGCAGCCCTCGGGACGGAAGGCGGAAGCGGCCCAGCGCAGCGGGCACCTCTCTTGCTTTCTTAGCTGAGGARTAGTATGTTCTTGGGAGCAGTTTTCAGTTTTAGCAGGGTTATTCCCAAGGACTTCAGTGCCTAAACTCTGCCCGAGTTCTGTGTCATCGAAGTCCTGTTCCTGAAATTAGCCCTCAGTGCTTAAACAAATGTACAAGAACTTATGATTTTCCCCCATCTATCTGAAACAGTGCAAGGGATGCAGCTTTTGTTGTTCCCAGATGTTCTGTTTTTATTTCTCAATTATTTTAAGTCCGTAAATAAGCCTCAAGGACATCAAGTGAAATCAAGGGCCTATTGATGTCAATGATAAAACTTGAGAGTTGTCTCTGAAAGCCAGGAAAAACATCTTTTCAATAGTTACTGCCTTTTATGTAAGTGGCTGCTTTTCACAGAGGCTGTATCACACCGAGGTGATGTGACGGAAATTCAAGCAAAATGTTATTTACGCTAATAAAGACCCATTCTGTCTCCAAGAAGCTTAAGCTTTTCTATTCACAAGAAACTCAGGCAAGTAGTAAAGCACAAAATGGGGCAAATGTATTTAAAATTCTTCTGGAAAGCACCAATCTTTCTTTTGAGATTGCTGGATTATTTGGGTATTATTACTATTCTCTTTGAACTTTATTGATAGGTATATACTGTTAAGGAATATGTTTATATTCCAGGACATCGAGTAGCACAAATGACTATTGTGAAGTTGGATGGTTTATCAATGGTTGGAACCTACTACAGTGCGTGGAGCAGAACGGTCTGTACGAGCAATCCCTTGCACTGCATTCTCTCACACCCAGCCTAGTGTCTTGTCTCTGCTCAGCCTTCAAAATGGAAAGCTCTGAATACATCAGGGTGCAGCAACACCCACTGTGTTGCCTGAGCTCTCTCTTTACACCCCCAGGCAAGAGAGAGACACCAGGGACCAGCAGGGCTGCGAACAGGAGGAGTGGGTGCTGCTTAGCCAGGAGGCACTGGTGAGATGGTGGCTGCTTTTGTGGGCTCCAGTTCTCTAGTTCTTTTGAAAGATCGCTGCATGATATTGTGGCTCTGTTTCTCATCTTACTATGGACATGGGTTGGGTGTTTATTTCTTAGCTGAGCTTGGAAGGCATGCTGTGTGCCAGTCCTCATGGGCTGTGATTTCGTTGACACTCATTGTAGATTTGAAAGATCTCTGTTTCTTAACTGGGGCTTGTGTTCTGGTGCTTCTTTTGGATGACACCATTTTGGTACAGTGCCTTGCCTTTTTAGGGTAACGTTCAAAGTTTATGGACACTGAGATTCCGCAGGCTTCATCTSACCTGTGCTTTATGGCTTCCTGCGGAAGGTTTTACCACTTCCCTGGGCAGAGAGAAGACAAGACACTTCAGTTTATAATCACAGTGGTGCAGTGCATCTCTCATTTAAGCTACTTACTCTTGCAGTGGATTTTTCATTTCATTGCTCACGGGGAACATTTTGGTAGTTCTGCAGACTGCAAAAAGTGTCCCCAAAGACTTGTTTCAGGTTGAAGAAAATGTTTTTCAGCTTAAAAAGAGAACGTTTCATGTCTTTAATTTAAAGAGTTGCCCAGCACTTTGTTAGATATTTGCAGTTATTGGGAGTGATTTCTCTTTTCATCCATGTGTTACAGGTACAGAACTAGATGATTACTAATATTTAGCAATATGAATGTGAAAAGATTAGCACTTCCTAAGTATAATGTTAGGAGGCAAAACTGAATCCCTTACCGTGATGTGTATGAATCAAATAGTAAGGAAACTAGCAAAAACGCTGTGGTCTCTCTTCACATCTGTCACCATTCCTTACTGCAAAGCCGACTTTCTCCACCCCTGTAAAGGTCCCCGTCTTCTGCTCCTCGCASGTGGCTTCTGGCCTTATTCTACATCACTTTGCCTAGCAGAATCATTAATGTTGAAAACATTAATGTTTAAAATGTTTAATGTTTAATGCTTTAAAAGACATACCAACCAAATGAACAAACACATCAACCTTTTCATAGGCTTCATAAAACAAGAACCATTTC